GGTCCTGACATTCCATGCAGCGACCATAAGAGGTTGTATACAGTTGTACCCCACTTAACGCGGTCAATAGAACCCAGAGGGTCCCGTGTTAAGTGAAATCCGCGTTAAGTGAACAACAGAACATATGGGATTAATTCCAATAGAAACCGGCCCGACCCCCAAACTCCACTTTTTGAAGACACATAACTATGTTGTAGTAAAAATAACATCTTAATTTTATGATGGTACATGCACACAATTAATACTTAAGAGAAACAGAGAAATACAGTCGCCAAGTTAATGTCCATTCAAATAATGGACTCAACTCCCTCCTCCTCTCACACTACACTGCCGGCTCTTCCCTCTCTGAGAAATTTTTGGGGGAAAACCACTAAATTTTAATAAATAATACCTCAAACTAAAGTTAGGATAATACAATTGACATTGCTGGATTCCTTGTAAGACCAGGAATATTTTGAATATAAATGTCATATATTTTGCACAAAAGATAACATAGTTACTCAGAAAATTTTTTTATCTAAAATTTGTATGTCTAATGCAAAATATATGATGTTTATATTCAAAATGATCACCAAATTATAAGAATTCCAGCAATGTAAATTATATTCTGGCCGGGTAATTTGTATGAATTTTATGAGCTAAAACAAATATCTTCAGATAATAAAAAAAAATATAATCTTCACGACACTATCTGTCAATCAAAGTACCCCACCTTGCATCCCCCCTCTTCCAACCGCACGGTCAGTCCCAACCCTCCCCCCCCCCACCCCCACCAAGAGAAAGAGTGGGTGAAAAAAATAAATTTTAACATTTTGTATTAAATAATACCTCAGATTAAAGTTAGGATAATATAATTGACATTGCTGGATTCCTTGTAAGACCAGGAATATTTTGAATATAAACGTCATATATTTTGCGCAAAAGATAACATACTTACTCAGATTAAACATTTTATCTAAAAATTTTATGTCTAATGCAAAATATATGATGTTTATATTCAAAATGATCATCAAATTATAAGAATTCCAGCAATGTAAATTATATTCTGACCGGGTAATTTGTATGAATTTTATGAGCTAAAACAAATATCTTCAGTTAATAAAAAAAAAAATATATTCTTCACGGGTAACAGATGGTCGGTCGGTCCCTCCCTCCCCCCCACCCCCCACCAACCGTCCCAAGGAGATGTGTGGGAAAACCAGAATACTTAACTTTTTTGTAATAAATAATACCTCAAACTAAAGTTAGGATAATATAATTGACATTGCTGGATTCCTTGTAAGACCAGGAATATTTTGAATATAAATGTCATATATTTTGCACAAAAGATAACATAGTTACCCAGAGAAAAAATGTTATCTAAAATTTGTATGTCTAATGCAAAATATATGATGTTTATATTCAAAATGATCACCAAATTATAAGAATTCCAGCAATGTAAATTATATTCTGGCCGGGTAATTTGTATGAATTTTATGAGCTAAAACAGGCAGTCAGGCAGGGTGGCGGGTGGGGCAAATCTAAAAATAGCGTCTCGAGCCGGACACTCACCGCGTATATGTGGAAAAAATCCGTGTTAAGTGAAAGTTCAGCTCTGGCGAGGCACCGCGTATATGATAAAATGCGTTAAGTGAAACCGCGTTAGGCGGGGTAATACTGTAGTTTGTTTTCGCTTTGATCTGTGATTCTGATTTCTGATTATGGTTTTGACTGCATTAGGATGACATTACCGGGTGTGGTTGCCCAGTCAGGTTTCATTCTTTAGGCAGGCTATGTTTAGGGCACCTTTTCTAGCCCCCTCCCCAGGTGGGGTGAGCGGAGCGGCTCCTGGTAAGGGCTGTTCAGTTGCACGGACAGGACCGGATTGCACTGCTGCCCAGAGCCCAGTGCATAAATGACCATCTTATCTGTGCCTCCCATGTGCAGAGTTGTGACTGGAGGCTCCCGGCAGTCATCTCGGCCTGTCCCCGTCGCCACAGAACTTTTGGGGTTTTGATGATGATGAAAGGTGTGATGAACTGGATGATGACTGCGCGTGAGTTGATTTATGTGGTGAGGCAGGAGCTCAAGCTGCAACCACACATCTTGGCTTTCCTTTTTCCTGATCCAGTGATGCAACTGTTGCAACGACTGGGGAGAGGGAGAGTTGCAATGGACTGCCTACCGCCCAGTTTGTTGGGTTTCGCTTTAGTAGCATGTCCATACTGCATTGCTTTCGTTCGCCGGTGTAGTCGTTGGGTTCCCATGGTGGTCACCTCTTCCACCTATACCACTATTGGGGTCTTGTTGGAGCTCTGTAAGCATGTCTGCCTGATGCGGGGCTCCACCACAGATTTTCAGCCAGGGTTTACTCCAGTAGCTTTATACCTACCAAGGTTAATCTGCAAGGCAGAGGGGCGGTGGTTGGTAGGTGCCAGGATGTGTCCACATGCCAGTGGGCCAATGCGCCGTCCCTCTGGGGCCCACTGCTACTTCGAGATCCCTGCTGATCTAGCCTGGGCCCACGAGGCACCCAGTTACCGTGTGTTGCTACGAGGAAGCACAGCGGGAGTCTTGATGGTGAGGAGGCTGTATACTTGCAGGGTAAGAGTTATGCAAGTTGCTTCCCTGTTCGCCACGAGGGCTAGCCAGCAGCGGAAGCTGAAAGCGAGAGGGAGCAAGTAGTGCTTGCACCTTAACACTAACATAATGCTGCAACACTAGATGCATCACAACACACTGTGTTTACTCACACACACCTCTCATTGTCAATAAACTTATTCGAAGTGCTATAGTCACAGCTCCAAGGTGGCACAGTACCCAGAAGGCATGTTAATGGTTTCCTCACATTCTCTTCATATTGTTCTCAGGTTTATACACTTTGCTTGACAAAAAAGTGATTGTCTCGTTATATTGTATGTACAGTATTGGACTTAGGATATAGTTCGTGTCAGTGTGATGGATAAAGTGGTGTGTGTGTTGGTTAAGTCATTGTCATCTTCTGCTTACCTGTTGTAATCACTGATGAATATCCTCTATAGTCAGTATTTAATGTATTCTGGAAGTAACGTAAATAAATGTTTGAGTTAAATTTTCAAACCCAAATGGTCTTTTCTCCATTTATTAAGGAAGTAAGCTAATGCACAATAACTAGGATATCACCGTTATTGATGCTATGAGCCAAGAGCATTAAGGGATGATGCTCATGTGTAGCGAGCTTCCTGAACACACGTGGGTGAGAGACATGTACAGACAGTTTGATAGCCTGCGTACCAAAGTGTTGCCCCAGGTGCGGGAGAGGTCAGTGGAAAGCAGTCACATGTTCAATTAAGACTACTCACTGCTCATAGTTTATACCCTTTTCACACTAACCTGGCCCGTAAGCCACGCCCCTCGTCTATAGCTACAAATATCTGATTGGTTCCCCCGAGTGTTTTACCCCCCCCCCCTGTGAAGTGCTAATGCCTTGAAATGATTTTCATTTAGATAGTTCAGACATTAAGCATTATTGTAGATAATAACAGGTCTGCTTACCTATTGTGAACATATTTAGTTTAAATATTCTATGAACCAATTGCCTATTAGTATAGAAGAGGAGCATGGCTTATCTATGTTTAAGATAGAAATTTCTTTGTTATTGTCAGGGTGCTAGGACAATTCGTCGCCAGGTCAATTCGTCGCCGGACAATTCGTCGCCGGTCAATTCGTCGCCGGTCAATTCGTCGCTGGTCAATTCGTCGTCGGTAAATTTGATATGAATGGTTTACAATTTGAACCTAACCTAACTTAACACAAATAAAGTGCAATATAGGATTATGCATTGCCTTGTGTTATCTATTTCTGGCTATATTTTGTTGAGTAGTGACCGTGTTATCTTATGATTATTTCTTGATTGTCCGAATAGAGAGATATTTTCTCTTCCGGTTGTTTGTCACCCTTGGAAATCCCTGGCTTTTGACTCTCCTGTTTTTAAGATCCTGAATAGGTTGGCCAGGACTGGCGTGACTGATGACGAATTGACCGACGACGTATTGACCGGTGATGAATTGACCTGGCGACGAATTGACCGGTGACGGATTGACCTGGCGACGAATTGACCGGACGGATTGACCTGGCGCGAATTGACGTGTGGATTGACCTGGCGACGAATTGACCGGCGACGGATTGACCTGGCGTAATTGACCGCGACGAATTGACCTGGCATTTAATTAACCGCCGACGAATTGATTGACCTGGCGACAAATTGACGGCGACAGAATGACCCTGGCGACCGATCGACCAGCGACGTTCGACCTGGCGACGAATCGACCTGGCGACGTTACCTGGCGCATCGACCTGGCCATTGACCTAATTGACCTGGCGGCGATTTAATTGACGACCGGCGTATTTAATTGACGTGACCAGCGAATTGACCTAATTGACCGGCGACGAATTGACCGGCGACGAATTGACTGGCGACTAATTGACCGGACGCCATTGTCAGGTACAGTGAGTGTCAGGAACTTGCTGGTGTCAGGTAGAGTGAGTGTCAGGAAGCTGCTAGTGTCAGGTAGAGTGAGTGTCAGGAACCTGCTAGTGTCAGGTAGAGTGAGTGTCAGGAACCTGCTAGTGTCAGGTAGAGTGAGTGTCAGCTGAGTGTCAGGTAGAGTGAGTGTCAGGAAGCTGCTAGTGTCAGGTAGAGTGAGTGTCAGGAACCTGCTAGTGCAGGTAGAGTGAGTGTCAGGAACCTGCTAGTGCCAGGTAGAGTGAGTGTCAGGAACCTGCTAGTGTCAGGTAGAGTGAGTGTCAGGAACCTGCTAGTGTCAGGTAGAGTGAGTGTCAGGAACCTGCTAGTGTCAGGAACCTGCTAGTGGCCATGAGCATCTCTAGCCAGGGTACAGCTTGTGGCCATGAGCATCTCTAGTCAGGGTACAGTTTGTGGCCATGAGCATCTCTAACCAGGGTACAGCTTGTGGCCATGAGCATCTTTAGCCAGGGTACAGTTTGTGGCCATGAACATAACTATTATTCTTTCTCTCTAGCCAGGGTACAGCTTGTGGCCATGAGCGCTACCGTTGGTAACTTGAAGGAATTGGCGATATATTTGGATGCCAGACTGTACGCAGGAAACTTCAGACCAGTGCAGCTGACGGAGTGTGTTAAGGTACTGTACTGTTGCAGCTGACAGTGTGTTAAGGTACTCGAAAGTATTGACACCTTCTTGTGTGGTGCTCCTACAAGCGTTACAGTGTGGAGTGATCGTCTCCCAGGTGAGGGGGTCGATTTGGCACTTTTTCAGGTTTGTCTTAAGACTATCCTTATACCTTTTCAGTTGCCTGCTAGCATTACGTTTACTATTCGTTAGGTGACTGTAAAGCAGCTGCTTTGGCAGTCTACTGTTGTCCATGCGGGTAATATGGCCAGTCCAACGTAGGTGTTCATGGATAATGGTAGCCTCGATGCTCCTATAGTTGGTGTCAGCAAGAATACTGGCATTTGTTCTTTTGTCTTCCCAGCGAACTTGGAGGATCGAACGTAGACTAGGTTGATGAAAGTTTTCAAGTGCTTTGAGGTGCCTCCTGTATGTAACAAATGTCTTGCTGCAATATAGCAGGGTGGGGAGGACCACTGCTCGATATATGTGCAGCTTTGTGGATAATTTCAGCTCCCTACAGCTGAAGACACGATTTTTGAGTCTGTCAAAGGCTTGAGATGCACATCTGATCCGATGCTGAATCTCATCGATGTCTGCGGTGGTGGGCAGGTGGAAGCCGAGATACTGAAAGTGGGCAACATTAGAGAGGGAAGTACTGTTAAGCTGGATGGATGGTGGAGGTGTGTCTGAATCGGGCAGGCTGAAAGAGAATACGAGTCTTACGTACATTCACCTCAAGGCCAAAGTGTGCATAAGCGTCTGCATAGGTGTTCAGGATCTCCTGTAGGTCGCGTTCAGTGTGAGCAACAAGGGTGAGGTCGTCTGCATACAGTGGTACCTCGGTTAACAAACGCCTTGGTTTACGAAATTTCGGTTAACGAATTACCTTCCATAAGAATGTTAAATTTGGTTAATGAACAAAAATTCGGTTAACGAAATTCTTAAGAAAAAGTTTCGACATGCTTTGGCTTGCTCACCAACTGGAAGATTAGTCTGCCAATGCAGAAATCGGTTCTAGGGCTTACATTCATTAAAATTGGAGTAAATATCAAGAAGGTTGTACTATTCAATAATTTTCATAGTTTTATATTCAAATTTTTAGTAATTTTAACACTTATTTAACAAGATTGCAGTACAGGGAACTAGTTTTTGGTGCACCCAACAGCCACTTACCTCACCCACCAAGGCCTCAGTTTGTGACTGTTCAGTGGAGGAAACATCTTGTTTGTGGGTCTCTTGAACACAGAGTATTTTTACGTTTTTACAGTACAATTATTGGTCATTCTGAAATTTATTTAACACATTCACAATATATAGTGCAGTGCAGTGTTGATTTAAAGAAAATAATCTTGAATTACACCGAGTGAACTTAAAATTTTATGGGTGAAATAACAGCATGAAGCATGGGGTGATTTCTCTTCCACCCTCACTTCCTTCTCTTCTCTCTTCTCCTCCACCCCCACTTCTAATTCCCATCATCATCATCATCAACCAGGAACCTTCTACATACACACCTCAAAGTGAGTGTACTTTATTGCATTTTTTTTTACTTTGTATGTAATTTTTGGTGAGCTGGAACCAATTACCCAAAATCCCATTGAAACAATGGTTTCGGTTAATGAAATTTTCGATTAACGAATGACCTTCTGGAACGAATTGTGTTCGTTAACCGAGGGACCACTGTACTGAAGTTCAATAATGGAAGCTGCTGACACCTTTGTTCTTGCCTGGAGTTGTCTTACGTTGAAAAAACCCTTCACTCGGTACTCAATGTTCACCCGCTGGCTAAATTGGTACTAGCACGAGTAAGGAAGGCAGCCAAGAAAATGGAAAAGAGAGTTGGTGCCAGAACACACCCTTGTTTAACCCCTGCTTGGATGGGGAAGAACTCGAACTGGGTGCCATTGTGCAGGACACTGCCATCGTGAAGTTGCCTCACAATGGCGATGAATTTTGGTGTGCAGCCAAAACAGCTGAGGGTTCACCATAGGGCTTCCCTGTTGACCGAGTCGAAGGCCTTGGTTAGGTCGATGAAAGCCATTTTCAGGTCACGATGCTGTTCTCTGCACTTTTCCTGCATCTGGTAGGCAGCAAAGATCATGTCGGTGGTGCCACGTGATGGTCTAAAACCACAATGAGATTCAGGGAGGAAGTTTTCCACCTCGTGGAAGAAGTCCGTTTAGGAGGACTCGGGCGATAATCTTGCCATCTACGGACAGCAGTGAGATCCCGCGGTAGTTGCCACAGTCTGACTGGTCTCCATTGTTCTTATAAATATTAAATATTGATGATGGAGAGTTTCAGGGCGACGTTAATTGAGAACTTGGCTCTGATGAGGACATATCAGCAATCTCTTTCTCTGACAATGATGTAGTCAATGAGATGCCAGTGTCTGGATCTTGGGTGTTGCCACGAACCCTTGAACTTGTCTGCCTGCCTAAACAAGGTATTGGTGACAGTGAAGTTGTGAGCAGCACACTTGCTGAGGAGGAGTAGGTCGTTGGGATTACACTTGCCTAGTCCATTTCTCCCTATGGTTCCCTGCGAAATGTCAGCATCTCTGCCAACTCTGGCATTGAAGTCACCAAGGAGCACAACCTTGTCTTCTCTGGGGATAGAGGTTAGCACTCTGTCAAGGTCTGCATAAAAGGCCTCCTTGATGTCATCCTCTGCATCCAGTGTTGGGGTGTATGACTGATGAAGAAGGCATGACCTGAGTGATTCAGTGGGACTCGAAGCGTCTTGAGGCGCTCGTTGATCCCAACAGGCATTTCAGTTATCCTGTGTAGGATGAGTTGGCGGATGACAAAGCCAACTCCTTAAATGAAGAATGATTTTTTTTTTACGGGGATTAGCCCACCTGGGCACAGGTCTCTGACCCACATCGATTCCTACGGGGTGAAAATGTAAGAATAATAATAATAACAATAATAATAAAAAATAATAATAATAATAAAAATAATAATAATAATAATAAAGAACCACAAAGAAATACAAAAATTTAGAAAAAAAAATCAATTGTTGGAAACAATATATGTATGTTGTGTTGTCAAAGTAAGAGAAACAATTGAGTCCCTTGAATTGTGTAAATACGGCAGAAAGTCGGCTCAGCAATATGGGACTTGGTCACAATTTTTGTGATGCCATATGGCAGCAGGGTCTATCATTAGACAATACATTATGCTTCAAATGTCTTCCCAGACATTAGTACCTCCCTGTTTGGTAGTTGCCTGCTACCTACTACCTGTAGCCAGAGCCCCGTTCTGTGAGTTGGCCCTCATCTGGGAGCCGGGACTCTGATGGCTGCTATGTAGATGTTATACCTAGCCAGCTCTTTTGCCACAAGGGCAGTTCTTCTTTCCGGCCGCTCATTTGTGCCAGTATCCAGAATGGTCCTGACATTCCATGTAGTGACCATAAGAGGTTGTATAGTTTGTTTTTGCTTTGATCTGTGATTCTGATTATGTTTTCGACCCCATAATGATGACCTTACAGGGTGCAGTTGCCCTGTCAGGTTGGTTCTTTAGGCAAGCTCTTAGAGCACCTTTTCTAGCCCCCTCCCTGTGTGGGGTGAGCAGAGTGGCTCCCCGAAAGGGCTGCCGAGTCGCACAGACTGGACCGGATTGCACTGCTGCCCAGAGCCCAGTGCATAAACGACCATCTTATCTGTGCCGCCCATGTGCAGAGTTGTGACTGGAGGCTCCCGGCAGTCATCTCTGCCTGTCCCCGTCGCCACAGGACTTTTGGGGTTTTGATGATGATGAGAGGTGTGATGAACTGGATGATGACTGCACGTGAGTTGATTTATGTGGTGAGGCAGGAGCGCAGGCTGCAACCTTGGCCTCCTTTTCTGATCCAGTGCAAGTGTTGCCACTGGAGAGAAGTTGATGGACTGCAGATAGCTCGTTTTAGTAGCCTGTCCATACCATTGCCTTTGTTCGCGTAGCGTTGGGTCCGGTGTCACCTCTTCCCCTATACACCAGGGTCTTTGGAGCTCTGTAAGCATGTCTGCCTGAGGCCACCACAGATTCAGCCAGGGTTTACTCCAGTAGCCTTATACCTACAGGTTAATGCAGAGGCGGTTGTAGGTGCCAGGATGTCCACATGCCAGTGGGCCTATGTGGCCCTCTGGGGCCCTCTACTCTGAATCCTGCTGGTCTAGCTGGCCCAGAGCTTCACCATGTATGCCGAGGGGCAGAGTTGATGGTGAGGAGGTGTACTGGCAGGGACTTCAGTTGCTTTCCTCACAGGCTAGCCAGGAGCTGAAAGCTAGAGGAGCAAGCAGTGCTTTCACATTAACACTAACATAATGCTACACTAGATACATTTCACCATGCTGTGACACACACACACACACACACACACACACACACACCCTAAAAGCAAAATACATAAGACTATTTTCTCCCCCTCCCACATATCAAAGCAACGTTGACCTCCGCCTCACTGACCATCACCTACTCATCTGCAAATTGGTGAACACACCATCATAGCTACACCACTCAGATCCCTTGTCCATGACTTCACATCCAGCCCATAAGCACTTACTGATCACTATAAGAACAGCCCAGTCAACCATTGTAAAAATTATGAATAACTAAAGTGCCCCCAGTCAATCTTACCTTCACTGTCACTATTTAAAATTCCTGTATATGTCCTTCTCCCACCTAGTTATTATATATTTAACTGATCCTTATTTTGATCAGGCCTCGTTACACAATGTCCAGAAGTTAGTTAACCAACATGTTCAGTTTTGGTTGGTTCGCTCAAATACATACAAACTAAAATAAATGCAAAAAACACTTACAGAATTGTGTGAATAGTGAGGGTGGAGGAGAAAGGAGAAGGCAGTGAGGTGGAGGAGAAGGAGAAGAGGCAGTGGGGTGGAAGAATCACCCATGCTTCATGCATTTCACCCATAAAATTTTAAGTTCACTCGGTGTAATTCAAAATTATTTTCTTTAAATCAACACTGCACTGCACTATATTGTCAATATGTAAAATAAATT